TATAACTAATATTTCAAGTGAATTTACAGTAAAATATAACCAAACACTTCTCTATCACTAAAGCATATAAAACAATATTCTTAATCTTACGTTGAACGAATGCATGTGTATATTATTGATTGTTTAGATCTAATCTAAACAGGGGGCTGAATCTAACGTCTTTGATTGATGATGATTTGAAATTCAATCCACTACAGTAAAGATTGATATTATTGCATAATTAAAATATGCTAATTTTGTATGTGTATTGGGAATCGTGCTGATTAGTTTTTGGAAATGATCGGCCGGCCCGTTTTCTTGTAATAAGTTTAAAAAAAAAAAACGACGATTTTTATGATTTTTTTTTGGCGGTAGATACCATAGTCTTCTAGGTCATACTATAATATTACCGCCCTACGACAATTCGTTTAGCTTTAAAAATTCGACAAAGTTTGCAAATATTGGTATCGTTTTTTGGCATTTGTCAAAATTAGACCTTTCATCGACGTTTGCTCAAAAACGCCTGAACCGATTTCAGAAATTTAAAAGCCATTAGATGTGTCTCAATGAGCACTATAGTTTGTCAGTTTTGTGAGACGATCTGCTGAGCCGTTTCTTTGTAATTTGAAAAAGAGTGTTAAACTTTTCTACATTTAAGCTCATTCTACCGAATCGATTTTAAAAAATCAAAAACTGTTCGAGAGATATTAGTTGGGAATAATACTGATTAGTTATAGGTGAAAATCTACCGAGCCGTTTTCTTGTAATTAACTGTTGAAAAACAAATTAAGCCGATTTTTATGAAACTTTCTTTGGCGATGTATATATTGATCTTATAGAACTTACTGAAATATTACGGCCTTACGATAAGTAGTTTAATTTTAAAAACTCATCAAAGTTTGAGAAAATGAGTAGTTTTGTTGACGTTTGTTAAAATTAAAATTAGATGATTTACTTGGTATAACGATAGATTACTTGGTCTTAATGAACATACTAAACCATTAACGTCCTACGAAAACTGGTTCAATTATAAAAATTATTGATTTGTGAAAATTTGCTTTTAGAAAATACTCCGAGTTAACGTGTTTGTTCGTTTTCTATTATGTGTAATGAATTCTCTCAAGGGAATACTTCTAATCACGCATAAATTAATTTGTTTATTATTGATAAAGTCGATTATTTACACATATCGGTAGCTCATGTAACTTGCCTCAAGGCTAAATACCAATACCAACTAGTTTTTTTTTTTGTTGAAAAGAGCATAGCAAAGTATTTGTGAAATATAATATATTTTGCACGAAAATAGTAGTTAATGCGTATGACTCCCAAGCAAGAATACCACATGTGCTTTAAAAATTATTTGAAGAGGCCGTTTGAAGTTAGTCGGCGGGTTTTTACAATCAGTGTTTTGAAGTATGGGTGAATAAGGCTAAGGTTCAAAGTTCGGATCGTACATCCTATCTGAATTTAAACAAATCGCGAATTTAAATTTGAAATTATCCACTAACATTAACATTTCCTAATAAGATGCAGAATAGAAGGTATCATACCAAATTTTTACCGTCTCAATCTTACGAAATTCAACCATTTGAACAATTCACTCAATAACAAGTTCTCTCGTTTAAGTTTACATCTTCTCTCTTTAGAAATTAAAAATTGTATCCGCAACACCAATAACTTGATACTTGCCGTTAATAAAACATATTCTTGGTTGGCCTATACTGTCGAAGCAGAGATTCTTGAAAGTTTCACTGAATTTGAATCTGTTCGTAATAAACATGTTCATAACAAATCAAAAAACTCGTACTCTAACAAATTCAACAAACTTTTACAATCCAGAATTAATTCGTCCCAAATAACCTTAAACGAATCACTCATCAACAAATGGTTAAAAAATCTTTCGGATGTTACGATTCCTGAGAGACTTCTTTACATCTTTGCTCTAGGTCCATATTTTGCAATCCCGAATAACTCTCACAACCTAAATTTTATTGAAGTGCTTAGCAGGTTAGAATCAGGTCTCCACAACATAAAAGATCCTGAAATAAAAACAAATACCCGTCCAATTTTCTGCAAAAATTTTCTCTTCTTCATTAAATCTTGTAATTCAAAAAAAATCGACTGTTTAGATATTCTTAGAGATATTAAAGCCTGTAAAATTTTTTTAGAAGAAAACCCTATCATTCTAATCACTAGAGCCGACAAAGGGAACATAACAGTGATTTTAAATAATTCAACTTATTTAGAAAAAGTTTCCGCGCTAGTTTCTGATAAAAAAAATTTACTCTCCCGTTATCTCAGATCCTACAGAACGTATAAACCGTTCTTTTCACAAATTCATGAGCGTTTTAGTCTCAAAAAAACAATTTTTTCCAGAAATTGTGCCTACCCTCCAAAACCTACATCCGTACAACCCCAAACTTTACGGACTACCCAAAATACATAAACATAACGTACCTTTCAGACCAATCGCTGCTGACATGAATTTCCCGCTCTCAAAATTCTCTAAATTTCTCTACAACATTTTTTTTCAGTCACTGTTAAGTCCCCCTTTTTCGTAAAAAACTCCTTTGAATTGGTTAATAAACTCCGTGATATTGTACTTCCTGATAATTCTTTACTAGTGAGTCTAGACGTGGTATCCCTATTCACTAACGTTCTGTTACAATTAATTTTAGACGCTATCACAGCTAGATGGGATGAAATTTCATGTCATACAACTATTTCATTACACTGGTTTCTTGAGTCAATAAAATTTATAATTTCCAACACCTATTTTGATTTCAACTACCTACCTACCTACCTACTTTGATTGCAAATGAACTCTTCAATTTTATTACAGATACGTTGATGACATTTTTACTTGTGTTCCGGTTAAAAACTTTGAACTTTTACTTCGAAACTTTAACTCTTTCAATGAACATCTTTCGTTCACTTTTGAAAAAGAACAGAACAATTCCATCAACTTTCTTGACGTCAAAATTATAAAAACCTTAGATAACCGTATCATCACAAATTGGTACCAAAAACCTACTTGGTCTGGCAGGTATTTAAACTTTCATTCTTATCACCCCTCTAGCATGAAAATAGGTATTATAATTAATTTACTTGACCACGCCATACTTCTCTCTGACAAACAATTTTGGTCTGCTAATGTATCGTTAATCCACACAATACTCTTTATATTTGTTAAAATATAAATTAAAAAGTTAAAAAAAAAATGCCATCTGGCGGTCAAAAATGATCGTTAGACATATGCACATCAAATTATCAGATATTTTATAGAGATTTTAACAATAAGTATAAATTTTGTTAACATTCCTATGGGTTCCGTACCAATGCTTATCCGTTAGACGGCGGCGCGGCGCTTACGCGCTTCGATATTTTGTCTCTATGCAGTTAAAGCAGTACGATTGCTTTGAAAAAAAGTTCAGAATTTCCAAAATATTTCAAAATACACTTTTCTTCAAGTCTTTTTTTTCAAAAAAAGTAAATTATTGTCAAAAATTTATAGTTTCTCAAAAATCTAATTTTTCAGAGTAATTTTTTTTACAAAATGTTAATCTTTTAAGAAAAAATAATTTTTGTTATGGGAAGTTCCAGCAATTTGCCTTAAGGCACGATGCCATGCGCCCCACTAGTTTTCATAGTTATATTGATTGGCACTGAATGAAGGCTAAGACGCTAACCGAAGCGTGTGGATTTTAAATAACTTTCTAAAAACTCTCTTACGATTTTTTATTGATGCCCGATTTTTAAACTCATATACATATACACCTAAGTCTGTTTTTACACGGTCTTTTTGTACACGGTTTTGATATAACACGGTTTGAAAATTGAATATTTTTAAATTTTTTGCACGAATTTATTCCATTTAGCACGATTTGAAATTTTATGTACCTAAATTTTTTTTTGTCAAATTAAATTTTTGCGAAGTATGTTCATATCACAAAAAAGTATTTATGAAAGAAAAAAGTCTGAAACCATCGATAGTATCGATAGTTTGCAAACACTAGCTTAAAGATTTAAGTGAATTCCCCTTTAGCGCGTACAAACAATTTTTACTGGTCAAAGCAAATGTGAATAGCACTAATTTAATTCTTGTTCTTAAAAATTCTTGTTTTTCACCAATTTTAATAGGTTTTAGAGATTAGGAACAAATCACCTATTTTTGTATAAGATCAATGTCTTTTTTTACACGTTTTTTTTTTTACACGGATTCTTCTGGAACCAATCTCCGCGTAAAAACAGACTTAGGTGTATATATATATATATATATATATATATATATATATATATATATATTTTGAGATTTTATTTCATAGTAAAGAGTAATTTTTACAACCTTTTTGTAATTTAAAAGATATTTTTGGTGAATTTGTAATGCAGTAGGTTAAATATTAGTATTAATTGTGTTATCTTATTTCGTTTCATAATAACATGACACTCGCATGCAACTAAAATCAATACTTATTTGAAGCATAGAAATGTAACTATAACAAATGTTTTACGACATAATTATTTTTTTTTGGAATTATAATAATACTTTTTACTATTTATCTGACAGGAGTTTGTTTTGAGAAGTGTATTAATTATTAGTTTCAAAATTTAGTGTTCCGATGTTTTATTAAGTAAGTTTAAACTATGTATACATTAGCTCATGTTTGTTTCAGAACCGTGGATGGAAAAAAGGATAAAAAGAAGAAAGGCTTATTCTAACAATTACACTTCAGCTGGTCAATTTATTTTAAAACCATTAAAATAAGAGAACGACTACATCACACTTTTGTGAAAATTCTTTATAATATGAATGACTGTGCATTTGTTATTTATTCATATATAGAAGTATGAGTAACTGCAACATTTCTGAGTGCCATTTCCAATTGAAATACATCACAATTGGTTTTTTAATTTAAGACCTAAAGGATTTGTATTAATATAAATTATTATCAAATATGCTCAAGCTTTCTATTATATTCTTAATTGTAAATTTTTATTGCATAAATAAGCATACAATTTAATATTTATATATATATTCAATTATTTTCATCCAGTTTTTATTATATTTATGTGTGTTTGTGATTTGTTTAGTTGTAAACCCATTTATTAAATACATTTAAATTTAACTGTGTAACAATATAGGCTAATGGCATAATATTATAATGTAAAAATAAAAAAGCTTTTATTTAAAACTTAACTCATATTTAAATTCAAATACATTTCAATTCAAACATTATAATAAAATTATTCTAAAGCTAATTTTGCAGGTTTGCCTTTCAATATTCGTTTCAAGCCACTCTTCAAGGTATATTCTCTTTTAATATAGGCAAATAAGATATCAGTGACTAAAAAAATCTGTGCTGTAGCAAATGCCAATGTAACACCGAAAAAAAAATTAGCATTGGCTGATTTTGAATATATCCACAAATGCCAAACAGTTGGACCAAGTACAGATGTTACGATAAAAAAACAGCCCACAATAAATCCTTGTTGCATATCTGTAAATAATAAATGAATGAATTGCTAAAAATGAACAAGGAAGAAATAAACTTAAAGTATTAGATATTCCTTAAAAATAAGAGTCTAAGTTGAATCTATGTGAAATCTTCATTCTGATATTTATTACGACTTGACCATGCAATAATTAACAGAAAAATATTAATTGCATATTATATATTTCATATAAAGTTTGCACCTCACATACAAAAATAATTCAATTGTTAACAAAGTCATGCGCTCATAACTTTGTGAACGAGAATAGCTTATCAGTAGAGTGCTCGACTCACTTGCCAATGGATCTTGGATCGATTCTTGGCAATTACATAAAAAATATGAAAAGTTTAATTGAAATTGACTTGCAGATGTGAAAAGTAGAATTTAAAAATAGTTAATTTGAAATTAAATATAATTAGAATTGAAGAATTGAATTTGAATAAAATTAGAAGTAAGAAGAAAGCAAGAAAAGATTAGAAGATCATGCACTTACTATAAAATAGATGCTTCCACATTGGTAATAAGGCTAAATAAAATCCAACATCACCCAGACCAGGATATGATTTGAATATAGCAATTAAAGCTGCGAGACTCGTTGCTAATAACATAGGCTCATGTTTGAGACGAAGAGAGAGCGGAAGCAAGTACAAAAATGTTGCATTAATCTGGAACGCACATATGAAAAGCGGTCGGAAGTGTTCAAACATTTCTGTGAAAAAATACCAAAATAAACCAACGTTTGGTCGCAAATCAGGTACATTCAATCTGTAAAAAAATACATAAATTTGAAACTGGAAATATTTCATTTTTTCAAAATATAATTATTTTTTTTTGCATAGATTTATTGCCGATCAAAGACAATATGCTGGATGTAAATGCATTTAAAGAGTTTATCTCCTATGAGAAATCTATATTTTTATTTTTTAACATTGCGTTTAGGATCGTATGACCATTTCTTTTTCAATCTTCAAGCAGGAGATTCCTCACTTAATTCTTTCAAATATTTGTTTGGGTGACCTGATATTTTTTTGTAGTATTTTTTGCTTCTTTCATAATATAATAACATGATCATAAAAGTTGTTGAGTATGTATATTTGGTAATGTAATTTTACTGGAATCATAACTTCTTATTAACCACTTAATCATCTCGAACGAGAGCCTCTCGCGCGCCGAATGTGTTTTCCGAGTTGCTCTCGCCACATACAAATATTGAGTTTTCACTTCGAACAAGATTTCTCGCTTAAGAATTGTTTCCACTTTTTGTTATCGCGAGTACTTCTCGGCCCTTTATTTATATATTATCTTAAAACTTTTAGCCTTTTTAGCATCTATATCTATGAATGTGAACACAACAATGCATTTTATAGTCTATAGAAATATCGAATTGTTCAATAAATTATTATTTCATAGAGCTTATAAATTTGTACTTGTAAGTGAATATTTATTATATATTTGTTCAAAAACACGATTTTGTGATTTTTTAGAAAAGATATCAGATTTTTAATTTAAAAAAAAAAAAATGTTTTTTTTTTTAATTTATGTTGCTTTGGCTTTATATTATGATTTCTACAATATTCATATGTCAATTAAAAACAAGAAAAAACCTACTTACTTTTTGACCTCACTTCATAAAAAAAAACCCTAGCATTAAGTGGTTAAACAAATGTAATGAAGGTGTAAGGTGTATATATAGTTTAATATGTAGAATATTTATGTAGTTTGAAACATTTGGAAAAAAAGACTCACATAAATCCATAAGTTGCATGGATAAATTTCCATGATCCAACTATCAGACTTGATATGTATAGCAATGCGGCTACACATACAAAATATATAATCAGTGTTCTTAATGCAGAACATTTAACACGACTACTTGATTTCTGATTTATATATATTATTATAGGAAAAAGTAGTATAGCCGGATACAACGACTGAATCGAAGCCATTGCTAAGCTTACACATGAAAGTATCCTAGATCCATAAATCATGCCAAAAAAGGTAAGAGCTAGAAACAGATTAGCCAATACAGCTGTTGCCATCCCAGCACAACTTAATATTGTATAAGGATTAAACAAATAACATGTGGCTACGTATACAGGAATGATTTTAAATTGTGAATCTTTTATTAGAAGTTGTTCAATGATATCTTTTGAATATGAGGATTTGTTATTCCCTTGTTTTTGCATCTGCAATGATAAAATTTTTAATTTTTCTGTTTTTATGTTTCTATGTTAAATGTTTCAATGATCAATAATTATTTCAATATTAATCAATTGATAAATTACTTCAATTATTAAAGTTTACCAGTTCATGCATGAATAGCTCAGCGGTTTTTGCTAAGCAAAAAGCGGTCAGTAAATCTAGTGTAATAAATATAAACGATAATAATCCTGGAAAATGTTTTAGGAGGTAAGAACCACTAACTAAAATAAGTGGAGATTCATGAAATAAATCTCCATCATAAGGATCCACCACATGTTCGTAAAGATAAGTTCCTTCTAAAACTAAAATAAAAATTTTATTAAAGATATTTTGCAACATAGGTGTAAACATTTGAAAGATAATTTATATTGTACTTCTTTTCCATGAATTGAGAGGTGTAGATATTTCAATGCGATCAGATATAGTTTGCATGTATTTTGAATTTAATAACATAAATCTAATGCACGCCGCTATGCCATATTTTAGAATCAAAGACATTTTACTTTTACTTTCACTTATTACAAGCTATTGCTCAAATTTATATAATAAAACCATCCCGTGTTTTCTAACTAAATAACAGATTATATTGTTTCTGATATTTTTGGTTGACAGCTGAATATAATGCTGCTCAATGCTCAGCTTTTAAATGTCAAAACAACTGTCAATTTTGATTCTGTCAGAAGCAGAGAAATACCAAAATGAGCAGATCAGAATAGATCATTTTCAAGTTCCCGTAGGGCAAGTCCCAGACAATACCCTAGAATACCCCGTGTTTGGGCAAGTCGTAGCCATAGATAAACAAGTATAAATAGATAGCTATGTCGGGCGATTTGACGTTTCATCGATTGAAGTGCGGAGCTAAGATTATTGATGGCAGCACATGTACATTTTGTAAATTAACCCCTGGTATTACTTCTACATTTGTTCATATAATCAACACAGCGAAAAAATCTGATAAAATTTTAATATTAGAAATAAGAACAAAACATACGGAATACAAAATATATTTTCAAATATATCACAAACATATTTGTGATACATCACAAACTATAAATATATATTTAACATATTATACAATATAAAATTATAAACAAAACAGAAATTACTGACTAATATTAACTGAAGTATATTACAGACATATATTTAAAGTACCACAAATTAAAAAGAAATGACTTACTAATATTAATTACTTAAAGACTAATAATAATATATTAAAAACTTAAAAACTAAGAAGAGGAAAGCGCAGGAGTATTGACGATAGAATGACAAATTTAACAGGAATCACCAAACTAGAAGGAATAACAAGTAATGCAAAAATTTAAAAGAATAAAAAGAACAGATAATTTGTTAAAAAGAACAAATACTTCACAAACAAAAAAGTCCTAAAAACATAAAATATATATATTGATACCAAAATTGAAAAAACACTAAATTCCAAGGATTAAAATTCATTTATGAGACATTATTCTTTATTAACTTTGCATTTAATAGTTACTTTATTGCTATCTAATCAATCATCAATAAAGCTCCAGTCAACGAAATCTTTGAATAGTGTCTATGCATGAGTGTTTTTAAAACATTACATTCAACCGTGTTATGATTATGATAAAAACATTATCATCAAAATTGTCATTAAATATCAGAAAGTAAATTGTACTTAGCAAAATTATTCCTCATGCACTTTAACAAATGTGGAGGATCACATAAAGGAACTTTCTCATGGCCATCTATTTCGAAAACCAATTTATTCCTGTGAAGGTTATTTGCTTTATAATACTCTTCTGTATCTTTTAAAAGCATATTAACCACTTTGCAATTTGCTGCATATTGGTCGCAAACTGTGGCAATAACATTAGTCCGATACTAAATAACTTGCCACATCAACAATAAGAGATTTTAAATCAGAACTATTTACCCCACCTTCGGAAAAGTAAAAAGCAACTGGTTGCTTCCAACTATCCTTCACTCCTTTTATCATGAATACAAGTGCATGATCCGCAAATGACCATTTTCTGCCGTTTGTTAGCTCTACAAAGCCAACAATGTTATCCTTTTTCCGATCATATGACAACTCTGTAGATAGTGATATTTCATCAAACATCAAAACACAGTATTTGCTACTTTAATACTTTTTAAGAGAAATAGCTGAACCGAATGTATTAAAAGGACACTCATTAATACCGCTATACAAAGGTATCTCTGAAAGCAACTTCTTCAATGTTTGAAAAGTAGTAAGCCTTTGGAGACTTTTTATACAGACTTAAAGCAAGAATTTTGTCATCATCTGTGAATTTTCTTCCTTTCGGCTTCTTAGTATGCTCTCTTAATTGAGACAATATAAAATTTCTAGCTCTTATATTTAATGTTTCCGGAATATTTGAAAACTTTTCAGAACATTTTATACTCTGTTGCAGTTTATCCCTTAAATTATTGCAATGTTTGTTAATCCTTCTTACCTTCTTGAACAAAATCTTTGATGTGTCTTACAATTTACTCCTGCGCTTTGTTTGTATATTTTGTAAAAACTTGCAGCTATCCCCAAGTACCTCTGTTTATCAGAATAACATGTTGTAATATCATATTTGATTAACTAATTATAATTGCTGCAATTATTATTAAAAAAAAATACTTTTGCGTGAAACTGGTGACAGAATAAGTAACTTAGGGGTACTGCAAAAATCCTTTTCCAAGTTTTTAGGACTCCATCTCCTAACTAAGAACATAAGTATTTATCAGTAATTTTTTGCATATGGCAACAAAATATTTACTATTCTAATTACTTGGCCTTTTCACTGACGGGGTTGCTAAGTATTCTCCTTCTCCATCATAATTACTTATCGAGTCTGCATCAGGAATTTCTCCTAGTGTAACAGGAGAACTATTCCTGAATTCCGTACAGGAGATATTGACATATCCAACCCACCCACTTCTATGAAGCTTGAAGAAGCTTAAACAGAAATAATTTTATTATATAAATATTTAAAAAAAAAAAAACAGACACAACACACAACTACCTTATTTCAAAAAAGACTAAGCAACTTGTATTTAATTACCTGGGGTAGGATTACTATTCTTTGACAATCTGTACGAGCCTGCTTTTAGATGACTTTTCCGGACTGACACACCACGTTCTGAAATAATATAAGTTTTTTAAAACTATCCATTAATTACATATATAAATTTTATCATTCTTACGAAATCTTTCTTTATGCATCAAGCAACTGTCAGTTAGATAGAGATCTCCAATGAACCCTACAAATATCAAGTAAAATACGAATTGAGCTAAATATAAACAAATTATTATAATACATTTCTACATTATGAATATTGTATGTACAAACCTGGCATATTCAGAGTCGGGAGAGCATTAATTTTAAGACGCCTATTCAAACTTTTAGAAAAGTTTTCTACTCTACAGATATCTGCAAAATGTGCATCGCAAATATATCTGGAGTTGCCACAACGCAAAGGGGTTAAATCATCCATTAGAGGATTATTAGCCCTTTGAAGCCAAACTGCCAATTTTCATCATATTTTCATTATAAATTTTCATGATATAAATCTAATATATAATCATACATACCTGATCGTTACTCACAGGAAAAACATGCAATTTAATATTCAATTTGGAATTAGAACAATTTGGGACGTGACAAGCCATATTAAACTTATTTCTTACACTCAGAAAAACAGAATTCAGAACAAAACGCACAAACTTAGGTTAATTCTACCTCGATCAAATACAGCACGGGTTTTCCCATCGACACAAGCAAATCATAGCTCGTGCGCCGTGCCCGTGCATGAGCATTTCGTATTTGAAGTTGAGCACATAGGGCCATCTATAATAGAAGCTTGGAAGTACGCCACGCTAAAACAGTGCAAAGCCCGTTTGTTCGGAGATAACCCCCCATGGTCGTAGCCATACTCATGGGGAGTTATCTTCGAACAAATGCGCGTTGCACTGTTTTGGTCATGGCCGGTAATCTCGGAACAAACGTCTGTAACCCGAGTTTAGTTAGAGCCCCTGCCGCCAGTCGCGCTTGTTTTCATTTTTTTTTTTTCACTTTGAAATCGAATTTGACATATGACAGATACGTAATCAAACATGGCGTCCATTGTAATAAATTTTTCTAGAAAATATAATAAACGCTTGTTAAAGTAAAAAACAAACTAGGTGTAAGTGGAATTCTGTCTTGAGGCAATTATGGCATCGTGCCTTAAGGCAAACTGCTGGAACTTCCCGTACCGTAACGAAATGTTCGAGGAATACTGAATGTTTTTAAATAGATTATTATAAATATTGTAACATTGTCTAATATTTATGAGAATTATATAAACTGAATTGCAGAGTTGAAATTATTTGTAAAGTATATTAGAACTATAGTCAGAATTAAAAATAAAATCTGAAATATTTTCGATATACAAAAAACTAAAAAAAAAAAAAAATGGAATACATTTTTTTTTTTAAAATCAATTATTTTGTTAAGACAAGCAGAAAGTTCTTTGAATCATTTAAATCGGACGCTTAGTTCTCTCAAAAACTGCCATTTTTTGTACATTTAGCTCCGTAGTTTCGAAATGGCTAGGCCTGCCTTTGCCAAAAACTAATAAGCACTTCTCCCAATCATTACTAATTGAATGTTTTTTAGATCATTCAAATCGGATACTCCGTTCTCTCAAAAATTCGATTTCTATTTTCTGCACTCTTTGCTCCCTATCTCCGAAACGGCTGGACCTGCCTTTGCCAAAAACCAATCAGCTCTTTTCCTCATCAATAAGAATCGAATATTTTGAACCATTCAAATCGGTTGATCCGTGCGCCCTAAAACGTGACTGGAAATTTGTATCCATACATACATACACACACACACACACATACACACACACACACACACATCCATTTTTTCTGAGGTATGCCAAAACGTTCAGAAACCTTCAAAACGTCGAGAAATGTTAAAATTTTCAATTCCGATTTTCGGCCCATTACAATAACTTACCCTACGGGAAGTTAATAAGCTGTCGAAGTGCATTGTTCAACAATGAAGAAATACCAAGAAAAATGTATATATTATGTAGTTCCAGCGAGAAACGACGAAGTAAAAGTAAAATGGTTAATAATATTTGCCGGCTTTCAAACTAAGTGAGTACTTTTATTAATATGCATACTTCAAATTACTTTCATTTGATTGTACTATTCTGATATGATTTTTCATTATAGTTTGATAATTCAGAAATAATTGGGACATTTAACTATATCAATACTAGAAATTTTAAGGTTATAAATAGACAGAGATAATTTCTGTCAGCTCTCTGAAAGGTATGTTATTAAATAACTAAATATAAATTATTCTTGTTCTAATAATGTAGGTTCATAACTAATACGTACGATAAGTGAAGGAAAATACGTTTAATTGTAAAATGTTTAGATGGTTTACCAAACACATTCACAAGTATACAAGTATTGATATGAGATGAATGAATACACAGGAAAAAACAATAAGAATGAAGTCTGAAATATGTGCTGAAATCTTTGCTGATCTCCCACTAATATTGAACAGTAGGACTCGTAATTATATATTAAGTCAGTTTGGAGAACATACTAAAAACACTAATGATATAATCTTAAGTGGAAGGAAATTCTCAATTAATGGTGAAATTCTAGCTAGTGCAAAGGTTAATTTAGGTTTGGCTATGTCACAGGAAAAGTTTTTAAGTATTAA